TGGTGAATAAGAAGCTGACTTGAGCTTCATATGTATGAGTCATTCTATGTGTCCCTAGCCTTTACAGATTTATTATACTTGAAAAACATGTTCAGTCTTCAATTTATTCATATTTTAAAATAAAACAATGTTATTTTAACAATTAGACCTTCTTGAGTCATCCATTTAGGAATATTGGTTTTTTAAATCAATTATCTAGAACTCCAAGCACCACAGAAGAGCTCGTCCTCACAGTCATGTGTAAAGGCTGAGGCCATATTTTGAGGTGTAAAACATTTTTCTGCAATTCTAACTGCAACAATCTGTACATGACTATGGAATATATTAATTAAATGACAAAGAAAACAAATGCCTATTATTATATTATAAAATATATAATGAAAGTTGTGGTCCCCAGGGGTGTCACTGGGGTTACTGCATAACAAAAAATCTCTTATTTTGAAATAATAGTCACACTGATGACATCACTTGACTTCCTTTTACCTGTTTTCTGAGGATCTATGAAGAAAAGCACATGGTGAGTCCACTGTGTCTTTCAGTTATCAGAGATTTTCTCATTTAGCTCATGATTTCATATGAAGCTTTTAGCTAAAGTCACTAGTGTGACCCACTTTATTCTGAGGTAATTGTGAAAAAATAGAATACAAATGGATTAAATTACATATTTTAGTGGATATTCCATGATTGATGACATTGGTTTGATGCTCTGTAGCAGCAATTTTTCATTAAAAATGTCTCTGGTGTTACCTTTCTTATGGGTAACACCGATGACTCCTTTGGACTTTATGGTTTTTGTAATATGACTCTTATGTATGAGTTTATTATTAAGAGCTTTGGCAGTTTTGGTGCCACTTTTATTAGTTTTTATAAAATATCACACACTGGAATGTTCTGAACTCTGGAGGTGTGCAGATTATATTGATCCAGTCCACCAATCTAGCTAATCTTCTCTTCATAGTGTTTTCTGGAGATCTAAAGGATCTACATGTCTTTACATCTTTTCAGTGGTCATTCTGGTCTATTTAGCTTGGTGTTTATCCTCTTGCAGGCCTGTATCTGCAGTGACAGCGATGAGATGAGCTCTATCAGAGCAGCTCACATTCCAAAATGGCCACGTGGTCTTCTTAATGACATAATCTATTACAAAATAAAAGCCAATCGTTTTGGAACTCCTTAAACTTTCAAACTATTGACATAAAGCTGAACAGAAATCTCAAACAGATTTTAAACACAAAGAGACTTTTATTTTGACAAATACGGCAAACAACTGAGAGAAAAAAAGGCCTGATGTAAGATGATTTCATAGAAAATGTTGCTGACACTGTGTTGGATTTAAATGATTTACTAAACTAATTCATGAAGTATAACTAAAGAAAGGAAGGAAAGGAAATCAGTAAATTAGACTGTAAGCGGAAAATAAGCAACAATAAGTGGAATTTTGTCTAATATTTTGTTTAACCACTGGTGGGCCGCCCGGAAAACACTGAGCAAAGCACCTGTAGACCACCGGCTCTGTCATCAGCAGGCCGACAGTGGCCAACTATCCTCTTGCTATCAGGGCTGCTATCCTTCCATTCATCCCTCCATCCTCCCATTTAACCTCTTCAATTCACCACCGGTGGTTCCAAAACGCACTTCGTCATAATCTTCATAACTTTCATATTTCATAAGCTACATTCTACAGGTAGGGGTCGTATGAGAGCTGTAACTGTCTTCTTTCCAGTCAAATAGATGGGTGATGTAATTTTAAACCCTTATAATAAAAGAAGCTGAACTCAATTTCTTTTCTATTGAAAGTCGACCCATTTTTCCACAAATCTGGGCTGTAAACTATAAACAGATGGCGTCTCTTCAGTGATCTGCTCTGTAAAAATTATTTTTATAAAATAATACAAAGAGCGTCTAAGATTTTTGGATTTCAGCAGTAAATTGTAAGCATATAGCAATATGTGTGATCATAAAACACCTTTTCTGTTGATTTGAGGGGACCTTTTACCTAAAAAACCCATAAATGTACAGTTATTTCATGCAGTTACTGAATAATGTGCCTTATGATTTGGTCATGTAAATTCAGATGGACAAACCAAAATATACCCTGGAGAATAAGAGGTTAAATCCATTCATTTTTGAGCTCCTTACGCAGTAAAACAACTTACCGTTTTCAGCTGGTCCTGGTTTTCAGACTTCACCCACTTCTCGACGCCTCAGTGTCGACTGGTTGTGCTGTGTGTTCATGTGTCCTTCACTCACGCGGCGGAATGTTGAGTGGGACTCGAATTCCAACCATTCTAGCCTTTGTGATGTCATCACTCCATCACAGCCACACCCACAGGCTCCGCCCCAATAGAAATGATCCTCTGAATACAGGAAACTCTCTCGTCCTCAGGAACAACCACTAAATCCACTAAAACAGCTCCCTGTCTACATCAGGCCTCCAGCATTTGCCTTCCAGAGCTACTGGAAGTGAGCAGCTCAGGCAGGAGAGGATCAGCTCTCCATTCACTTCCACTCATTTCTGCCTCAGATCATCAAACGGCTCCAGGCCTCATTTACAAACGAGCTGGACTTCCATTTGATTTCAATTGATTTTGTTTTCTTTATCCACCAAACACCAAATACAGTTTACCGACAGACACAGGCAACAACATAATATAAACTTTGTATAAAACTTTTATTTATTTATATATTTATGTATAATGTATATTATATTATTTATATATATATATATATATATATATATATATATATATATATATATTTACAAAACTCAAAATTTATTATGTATTTATGTATTATCAATCTCATTCTTCATCATTTAATGTATACAACTGATTTTCTATATTTTCAGTTGTTTTGTCCTTTGAAGTTTGTATTGAATTAATAATAATGATAATAATAAGATTATTATTGTCCTTATTATTATTAGTATTATTATTATTGTCATTGTTATTATGTTATTGATGCTTGTTTTACATTTCTGATATAATCTCTTGTTGTCTTTTAACCACCTGTGAAGCATATGATTGTTACACAAATATTACTATAATTATTTATTATTATTAAGAGAATATTAGGGATTAAAATAATAACATTTTATCCCTTTGTTGATTTTTAAATGATCATTTAATAATGTATAATTTTTAACATTGTGTATAATAATAATATGATATATAATAATTGCATTTATTTGTACTTATTATTCATAACTGTTATTAATATAAAACAAATAATGAGTTAACATGAAAATATAATTGATAATAATAATAATAATAATAATAATAATAAATCAAGTAATACCTAAAGTCTAAAATTCACTATAGATTTTAGGCCAAAGTGCACTATCAAGCTGAATGACCTGCCTTATATCCTTTCACTCATCCCTCCATCCTCCCCTTCAAACCCAGTCATTTTGGAACTATTTGAATTTAGGGTTGGGTGTCACTTCAGGCGTGACCCTTAATTCTGTGGGGAAAAACTGTTTGGGATATTTTTGTTGTACCTGAATTGAATTGACTTCAGGTTCTTTTGGTTCTTCTATGCAATTAAAAAGGGTGGTTCTTTAATGGTTCTTTAGTAAAGACAATTACTCTATTTAGAACCATGGACACTCAAAGAGCACTTTGCATGGTTAAAGTGTTCTTTGCATTGTGAAAACGTTCTTCAGATTGACAGAGAATATGCTGTAGATGGTTCTAAATGGAACCGGGTTCATGTAACAAAATCAAGCTTGTAAAAGTAGAAGAACCCTTTTTGGTGCTATATAAAACCCTTTTCAAAAATATGCCGCTCCAACTCATCCCACAGGTACTGGATGGAGCTCCATCACTACAGAGAACCCGGTTCCACTGCTCCACAGCTGAATGCTGTGGGGGCTTTTTACCCTTGTAATTCAGGTAAAGGTAATATTGGTTTCATTTGAGCATTTATAATCTTTAATCTAATGTGGATACGCCTCCTAATTACTGTGTTTGGGGGTTTTAGCCACACCCACTGCTAACAGATGGCACTGTCATAGAATGCCACCTTTGCATCATAAATTTCTGCCCTGGTCAACTGTAATAGCTAATATTGTGAAATGGAAGCATCTAGGAGCAACAGCAGCTCAGCCACAAAGTGGAAGACCATGTAAACGGTCAGCGGGTGCAGTGAGCGCTGAAACTAAGCACGGAAAAATCACCTCTCCAATGTTGCTTCACTCACTAAAGAGTTTCAAACTGCCTCTGAAAACAATACCAGCACAAGAACTGTCCATCGGGAGCTTAATGAAATGGGTTTCCATGGCTGAGCAGCTGCACACAAGCCAAAGATCATTATGCGCAATGCCAAGCGTCGGCTGGAGCGGTGTAAAGCGCCGCCACTGGACTCTGGAGCGGTGGAAGCGTCTTCTCTAGAGTGATGAATCATGAGTCATCTGTCAGTCTGCTGGATGAATCTGGGTTCGGCGGATGCCAGGAAAACTCTACCTGCTGTAATGCATGGTGCCAGTTTGGTGGAGGAGGGATAATGGGCTGGGGCTGTTTTTCAGGGTTTGGGCCCTTAAGTTCCAGTGAAGACGTTTTAGATAATTAAATGCTTCTACCTTTGTGGCAACAGTTTGGGGAAGATCCTATCCTGTTCCAGCATCACTGTGTCCCTGTGCACAAAGCCAGCTCTATAAAAACAAGGTTTGACGAGAGCCCTGACCTCAACCCCACTGAACACCTTTGAGATGAACTGGAACGCCGATTGTGAGCCAGACCTTCTCATCCAACATCAGTGCCTGACCTTAGTAATGACCTTTTTAACTGAATGGGCGCAAGCTCCCAAATACACACTCCAAAATCTTGTGGGAAAACCTTCCCAGAGAAGTGGAGGCTTAATGCTAATAGTTTTGGAATGGGATATCCAACAAACTCATATGACTGTCAGATGTCCACATACTTTTGGCCATATAGTGTATATGTCTTTAAAAGCAAGCATTTCAGCATGAAGTAGTGAATGTAAAGAACAGATATCAAGACTCTTGTCTCATTACTGTTTATTACTGAGCATGTGAAAATGAACAGCACTGGAAGAAGAAGAAAAAGGTCTCACAGAGGAACATCAGGAATAATTTCTACTTAAAAACTACTGTGACAATCATTTATGATCAGTTATTATCAAGAGATAGAGATGCATCTACGTAAACACTTTGGCAATTTTAGTGCAAAGCAAAGTTATGCTAATTTCAACCAAAGTAACTTCACCATACGAAGACTATAAGATTTAAATCTACACTCTGATTTCAAAAGCAAATGCTGAGATGACATACAAATACAAAAATAACACTTTTGTTACTTATTTAAAACAATTCGTAAAGCAATAAACTTCTCAATACAAAGGTTTCCAACTACAAGTGCAGAGTTAGCTTACCACTCCCTGTTTTAGTCCACGACATTGATGGTTCTGGTAAGACGTGCGGTTTGCGTGAACTGCGTTTGACAGACTGGAAGCATGCAGATTCACACTGGAGAGGATGGAGAGCGATTAGAGCGTAACTGTAAAGATCTTGGAGGAAGCTAAGCTTCAGACTCAGGCTCCAGGCGGTTGCTGACAAGCTCTTTTTAATGCCATCTTTTTAGGCCTCTAGCAGATAATCTGTAATACAACAGACAAACATGTTGAGTCATTCTATATAAGCACTTGCAAGCATTTCTGTGTAGAGTGAGGTCTACCGTGAGTTCAAGCCCCATGGAACCTAAATCCATGTTTTTTTTTTTTCTAATAAGGTCCATCTTGCTCTGCAGGGCACATAATATACATGTACAAAGCATGTCCTGTGAATAACTTTCCAATGTCCACTAAAGGGATGATCTGTTTTGCCTAAATCCTACCCTTTTGATGTAAACTGCCCTAATATTGGGATAAGCTCACGTAAGCCTTACCCTCACTGATCACAAGGCTGATGAGGCACCTCCCACACAAATGTATCTTCCTCTGTTGGAGTCAGAGGAACTTGCCCAAAGAAAGCTAACCACCTAGCAGGTATAACTGAGCTATCTAGCTAGCTCATGCGTCTGACTGTCTGTCTGCCTGACGTGTCTGTTCATTGGGGTGAGGGGAAAATTAGGTCTTGTTCACCAAACTATTGCATTAAATGAACTGCTTTCATAAATCTAATGTGTTCTGAAGTCAGAAGTTTACTTTGGCTATGCCTACCTTTACACCTCGAATGCTGGGAACTTGGCGGCCATCGGCTGCAACAGGTCAGCAAGGAAGTAGATGGTTCCAGCCATTCCTTTAATGAAAAAAACAAGAGAAAGAAAAGCATTTAAATGGCTGTAAAATGTAACAGCTGTGGAGTTATTTAGTCCACTGAGTTAAATAATTATGAAAATCCAAAAATTGTTCGTTTTCTATATTTTTTTACTTTTTGGTTAAAAATGTGTTGGTCAAAAGGTCAGTGTATTCATATTGTAGCAGACATCATCTTATAAGACCCAATACCCGTTACAAATAGAGAGGGTTTTAAAAACACTGTTTATGTTTGGCTGGCTCTATAATGGTGCATAGTGCTTGGACCCCGATGATTGCCACTTGTGCTGTAATTTGTACGTGGCTGTTCACAGAAATCAATTTCGGAAGAAACCAAGTGGATGCAGACTGTCTTTATTGCTAACAATGATAACTTACAGATCTCAACCTAATTTGCCGACCTTTCAGAAGCTACTGAAGAAAGAATAAATATTAAAATAAAAATATTTAAATAAAAATTAAATACCATACAATCATATGCAAAGGTTTGGGAAAGAGGTTACAGTTTGGTACATGGATCTTTCTACTGACTGTAGAGTCAGAGTTGAAAGGGGCTGTTTTGGGACTTTTAACTGACTGGGACTTTAAAATCCTTTCGCTCTGAGTGACCCTATACCTTAAATATGTTTATTTTATTAAAACAGATGACTGAATCCATTTTGTCACTAATTTTGATTATTTTAAATTCAAAAACACTAGCCAGTACATGACTACCAAACAGATGTACACACAAAAATAATAATAAATTTAATTTAAAAACTAAACAGTTTACTGAACTGCAGAAAATGTGTGTTTTGGCAGTGACTAGTCTTAAAGCCCCTCGCTGATTTTCAGACTTTGGGACTCAATTTACAAAACAATGGGATCTAACTGCTCACCATGTGGCCAAGAGGGACCAGGATGCAGCCTCACCTCCTGCTCAAAAATGCAGACTAAAACTCTTTCTTTCAGTAATGACAAACGTGGGACAGCATATTTTATTTTAAAAATCAAAGCTGTGAAAAATCAAAATCCTTTAACTTCACAAATCAAAAAATCTATTAAAATGCAAAAAAAAAAAACCTTCTCACAAGTGTAAATTTAGTTTTAGTTGGGGACAAACACCTCCTAATAGAAAGCACCATAAAATGATGATTTTGTATGTAATTAACTTATGACTGTTTCTATTAACACGTTGGGTTTAAATAGATCATAAAATAATCCTTGTTAATATCTAAGGTCTAAATACGTCATTGTTTTTTAAATTTTGGAAGAAACCAAGAGGATGCAGACTGTCTTTATTGCTAACAATTTTAATTTACAGATCTCAACCTAATTTGCCCACCTTTCAGAAGCTACTGAAGATTGAAGATACTGAAGATACTGAAATAGTTTTCACTGTGGGGGCTACAGTTTAAGCTAGTTCAGTAGAATGGTCCATATAGCTGGTTGAACCCACCATTTCTGCTCAAAGTCTTATATCTATTGGCAACATCACTGTGAGAGTCAGTGTGTCAAGACTTAGTCAGAACAGTTAATGTGTAATTAGTGCTGCACTATAATACCTTCAAAGAGAGAGAAGGGTGTGTCTGGAGTCCGGCAGCCATGTTTCCCGTAGTTCATGCACCAGTCTGCAAACTAATACAAAGAAGACATCATTACCCATCATGCCCTCACACATCAGACTGGAAGCACTGTGATCTGCATAAAGGATGCTCCTTTACTAAGAGGAACTGACTGAACAGTGGGAAATGACTGATGGCTGTAGATATGCCATCAAATATGCCTCAAAGACATTCAAGAAATTCCAGTATTTCAGGAGGGCTGCTCCATCAGTGATCAGCATCAGGACAGGAAACCACTCTTCTGGTGGTCTTCCAACCTTTAATTCACACCATATAGTAGTAGTTAGTAGTTTACATGTCTATTTATATGCATTTTTTTATGTTAAAGTCTTTTACTTTCCAGTTGGGGAGGGCGATATTACAATATTTCATCGTTATCGTGATAAATTATGTCACAATATGCTTTAATGAGCGTTTTGTGGATATCGTCAGTACTTAAAAACACTGACTAACTACATCTTTCATTACAAAGTGAGCTTAATTAGGTCTGTATAATTGGATTTAGTGCAGAGCAGTTTGTAAAACGCTGAATAAAAATCATTGTAGTCGTAGATTTTTTATTATTATTATTATTATTATTATTATAGTATTTTTGTATGTGGCGCTACAGGACTTCTCCAACTTACTGAATCTCAGAAAAACTAAATATTCTGATGAATATTATGCAGCAAGAAAATGTCTTAAAGTATTGTGATATGATATTTTGCCATTTTGCCCACTCCTACCTTCTAGTTTACCTTTTATTTAAAAAGCCCATATTCTGCACTTGTCTTGTGTTTTATTTCATTTTTTTGTCATTTAAAATAAATAACAAAAACTTAAAATATTTGTGTGGTTTTATGTACCAAAAATGGCCAATTCATTTTTTGTTACTGTGCTTTTAAGAGGAATATATGTAAATGAGCTCCGTTCATTCAAAAAGCTGTTCAGACTGAAACACTCCTAATAATGTCAGTGTTAGTGGGAGGAGCTGCACTGTTATTGGCTGATATATCGAAATGTGGCGCTTTTTCACAAAGACAGCAAATTCAAAGCAGGTTGATTTTGCAGCTCAGTCTTCCATAAATGGACTGTTTGGACTGAAACCTTAAATTTTAACCATGTTTACATACTACATCACACTGTACTTCAGCAAGGAAAATCCAGATTTTTAAACTCATTTAACTCAATTAATAGCCTTACATTACAACAGATTACATTACAGGTCATTTATATTTCATCATATTACAGCCCCAGAGCTGAGCTCTGCTTGCTATTAATATATGAGTGGAGCTTCTCCGGCTCTGTTAAACACCTGCATGTTAAAAGTTAGAGGTGCCCACTTACCACGCAGGCCCTGTAGAGGTGCCGGGGATCATGGGTGAGCTTGTAGAGGGACAGAAAGCAGTAGGCGTTTCCTGCGGCTCCGTGGCAGAGGCCGTAGCCCTTCTTCAGCAGACCCCTCTGCCAGACCACCTCTCCGCAGCGCACAGCGTCCTCCAGATACTGCTGCACGCCGAACACCTGCAGAGTGAGGAAGGAAGCCGGGTATTTAGTATCTTTATTTATGGTCTAGAACAAGTTTGGTGTATTATTTTGTAACTATGTAATTCAAAAACAGACATGAAAAGCAGTTATTTGGTAATAATTCAGGTAAATTTAGCATCTCTCACCTTTATGATCATCTAAGTATCATCTTAGGTGTGAAGAGCAGGTTTTGTCTAAATAGTGAGTCGACAGTTTTCTTTTCCCAACTACTGTTAAAAGCACATGTTGAAGCGTTTCTTGTCCAACAGTGGTCTAAATGTTTGAGTGCTGACATCACAACAAGGGGCTACAATGCACAGGGCATTGTCTTTATTGGTTTGGTGTGAAATGCTCCATTCTAGAGAAACTTAGAGTCAGAATTGTCCACAATGGTGGTGATAGGAACCGGACGTCTGAACAGTTTAATGCCTCTAAACCTTTGTTATTTGAAATGGTTATGAATAAAATGCTTGATGTGACAGTTTTGAAAAGATTTTGGCCTAAAACGATTTTTTTTTAAATTGTTAACAGTTAATGGTGGAGGGTTACATGCAGGGTGTTGTGAGGCAAAACAGTCCCCAAAGAAAACTTATCTTTTGAGATTTAATCTATTTTGTCATCATCGATATCACATATAATAATAAAACACTCACATTTGTGATTTTCAGCACCCTAAAGCACCAGATCCTTGTTAAGGGTTCACTTCAGCACTAAAGTACCACTCTTTTCTGACACTAGGTGGCTCTACAGCACCATCAGAAGTGTTATGAACTACTGAACTGAAATAAGAAGCTGTATGTCTGCATGAACCTTCCTTGAGTAAAAATGTTTATTTACAATTAGTTTTTTACTTTCGTAATGAATTCAGTGATGAACACCTACGACATAGTTCAGCTCTCTATCTTCTTTTCTGCACAATTAAAATTCATATTTTAATGGTTTATGACTGTTGGGTTCCACAGTTAACCAATCAGCTGTGATACTGGTGAACTTTACTGAATTAGCTAATTGGCTAATGTTAGATATTGTGTTTACTGACTATAGTGCATATATTTATACACAAAAATACATTTATTACATATTAATTTACTTAAGACTATCATTTTTGGATTAGATTTAGTTGCACATAAAATATAATGCAAACTAGGATTATGTAATAGCATTTAAAACGTCGGTTAAGATGTTATGTAATATTCTGCAGCACAGCATAACGTCCTTCAGCCTCATTGGCTTGAAATTATTCATGATTACTCATCATTTTTGTTTTTTGTCCATTAATGTTCTCTCACAATACCCAGCATGCATTACGGTCAACTAGCATACGACAACTTTTCATACACACAGAGCCAACAGTGTCCTAGTTAATCTGATAGCACAGTTACAGGGAAAACACATTACATTTGATTAGATTAAGTAATAATAGTCCATTTCCATTCCACTGAATGGCCACTAGAGGGCCTGCAGAAAGAGCTTAAACCAATGCTTTCCATTCTCAGGGTCCCAAAAGATGGTCTACACTTTTCCTTCATCATGTGCTGTGTTGGGGCAAACATGCGGACCGTCTGGGGACCGGGTTGCGACCCGCTGGTTTAAACCAGTATTATTGTGGAGCACTTGCTTGTACCTTGTAGGCCTGCAGCAGCATGTAGATGACTCCAGGAGAGCCGTGGCACCAGTGCACCAGCAAGTCCCGCTCATCTCCAATACATGGGGGGTAGTTCCCAGATGGAAACTTCAGCCGGCACACAAAGTCCACGCTGGGCTTCACGAGTGCCAACACTCTGCCCTGATCTGCCACGAAACCGGGCTGTGGAGACCAAACAGCAGGGAGCCCATGTGAAAATAGTGTCTCAACAAGCTTGAGCAGATCTAGAACATGTTAATGCTACTGTGAATGTACAGTATATAACGAGAACTACTACTAGATCACTAGTAGGTCTTACAATGTACTGTCTGTGTAGAACTAACACTAGACAAGGTAGGTGTTTTTCATAAAGTGGCCAGTAAAAGGATGACAAGGTTAGTGGTTCTAGTAAAGCCGCCAGTGAGTTGAAGTAGAACGTAGGTAAAGTGGCCAGAGAGTGTTAGAACAAGGTAGGTGTTTCTAATAAAGTGGCCAGTGAGTGGAAGAACAAGCTTGGTGTTTCTAATAAAGTGGCCAGTGAGTGCAAGTACAAAGGGGTTTCTAATAAAGTGGCCAATGACTGGAAGTACAAGGTAGGTGTTTCTCATAAAGTGGCCAGTGAGTGGAAGAACAAGGTGGGTGTTTCTACATCGGTCTGCCTATATGATGAAGACGATGATGCATGGTAGGTTTACCTGCATAAGGTAGTAGTAGATGCCGGACAGTCCGTGGGCAGCACCCACATACTGCTCCTGATACCACTCGTACATGAGTGGGGTATGTTCCTCAATCCTCATCCTCTGAGCCAGATTCTGCCCTGAGCCCAACACTGCATCACAAACCTGAAACAAACATATACACACTAGCATCTCGCAATCGACTCATCAATATAACGAGACCTGATTAGCATACACAGGCACTTAGTTGTAAGCGTGAGACAGCGGTTGAGCCCCACGTCACTTGAGGGGGCGGCGGACCTGCTGAATGTACTGTAAGGGGATCTTCTCATGCTGGAACTGCTGGTTGATGAAGACGAGGGAGTACAGGTAGCCCACACGTCCATACAGCAGCTCATTTGGGAGGCTGCCTGAACTCTTCACCACCGAACTATGTAGCTGCAGCAACCTAGAAACACAAGATGGACGAACACAGAACATGTCAGTGCTGAACCATGACTATTAGAAATAGGGCCAGTTATCCTCAAACAGACTTCTGATACTGAATCATAGCTAAAAACAGCAGGTGTGGTCTTGAAGCATCTTTTTGCCATTTCTATAGCTAACGGTTGTTTTTTTGAGATTTCTGAGCAACTCAGCTGAAGCGTATGCTGAGGATTTTTTGTGCAAATTATATTTTTTGTTGAACTTTTCCGTTAAAAATGAAGTTTACCTTCACAGGGAAATGTGTTGGATTTATATTTAGACAGTGTGAATGAACAGACCTTTGGATGCACTCCTCTGCTTCTTGAGGCCTTTGCAGGCGATGGTACACTACAGCAGCCACGGCTAGCGGGCCGACGTCTCCGCACAGGAAAGTGACCCGGCCGTGGGTCAAACACCTCAGGCTGCGGCTCACGTGGTCGAGAGCCCTCTGGAGGTATGCTGAGTCACCGTAGACTGTGTGGAGGTGCAGGTACAGCAAGGCAATGCCTGCAGATGAAGATATTCAATGGGTAACTCCAACTAACAAAGCAAATGTGGCTATCTGTGGAGGGAAAACAGTGGTTCCAGTTAGCCTTCCTTTTTAGCCTGTCTTTTCTGATGACTGAACTTTAAAGAATGTGCACATTTGGAGGTTATTCCCATAAAACACTGCGTTTTTACTGGGGCTGTGCCAGACTAAAGATTTGCTTTATTAGCCTCTACAAAAATGAATGTTTCAACAGTGTCTCTCAAGATATTGTCAGGAATCTCCCTGAAAACTGGGATGGGCTTTTTGGAACTGTGGGTCAAAGTGGTTGGACACATATCTTAAAGGAAAAAAGGACCTTGATAGTCTAGATGAGCATCACTGTGGCAAACATGATTTCCTTTACGGTGTGCTTCAGGGTTCCGTATTAGGCCCACTTTTATTTTCACTGTACATTCTACCACAGTTAGCAGTTAGCAAACCCCTAATGCGCTATGTTCCAGATAAGATCTTATTGAAGGTTCTCGGAATGAAGCATAAAAAGACTGGTACTAAGCATAGAACGTTTGGAACTTTTTGCCTATTGATATTTCTCAGAATACCTTTTCTAGCTTAAAAAAACTTTCTTTTTATAATATTAAAAAATATATATTTTTATGTAGCTAAGTGTTTTATTAATTGATACACACGCACACACACACACAGTGCTCTTTTTGTATTTATTTATAATCCTTTAATAATTATATTTTATTTGAATTTTCAAAATTGCAACATTTCAGTTTAATTAAAATGTATTTAACAATTGTTTACTTAATTTTATTGTGTGCTGTTCACTATATTACATATACTGTTTTATTTAATTGTACTTTTGGGTGAACTTGGGCCCGTCCTATCAGAGCAACGTAGGTGGGCAGGGGGCGGAGCTTATGCTATGCACACAGCCACTTTCACTTGAATGAGTTTTTTCTTTGAAGTCGCTTATAAATGAGAAATTGTTGGTATTTCTGGGAATATTTAGTCTCAGAATCAGAAATGATGTCAAAACATAAGATCAGATGCCACCAAACGCAGGCTAGTAAATAAATATCACAGCAGGGGATACAGGACCTAAATTTTCACCTTAAATGGCAGCTTTCATGCTCTTAAAGTTTAAACCATGTTTATTACATGTTCCACATTTCTAAAATATAAACTTAAAACAGTGAACAACAAATTACATAAATGGCCATTATACATTTGTCAAATGGTGCATTTTAATTTACAGAGTCAGAACTGTTCACAGTGGTTGTGATAGGAACCAGACGTCTACCTTTAAAAGCTCCCTCATAGAAAGTTACTACATGAAATGGTTATGAATTCACTGCCTGATAACTGAGACACTGTACGATAGTTTTGGCCTTTAAATCCAATCATGGTGGAGGGATACATAATAGGCAGGGCGCTGTGAGGCAAAATAGTCCCCAAAGAAAACTTCTTATTTCAGATCTTCCACTATTTTATCATCATCAACACTCCATCTAAACTCAGAAGACTCGTGTAGGTTCACTGGTGGTTCTGGATAGTAAATAAAATGTCTATATTTGTGTTGTAGTCATGGCGACCCCTGGTTCCCATCACCACCACTGTAAAGACATCAGAGTCAGTAAATTCAAAATGATCTTTAGCTCACGTTTTAGTGCCTGTTCACTCAAACAGAATTCAATTTGTGTGGAGACTCTTAACTTCCATTTACAGAGATACTTACAGCTTAACTATAATATCTCTGTAAAAGCTAAGAAATATATAGACACAATTAGCTGAAAGAAGTGTAGAGATGAGAGCCTTCAGCAGTTTTCTGACCTGACCAGCCTGTGTAGCCGGTACAGTCTCTCGGGTCAGCGCTCTTCAGCCCGTTTTCCATCACCGCCAGCAGCTCGCTGATCTTGCTGCTTATACGACCTATGAAAGCCTCCGTCAACTGGAATGAGGTTTATATAAGATATAATTACATATTATATAACTATGCACAGAAGCATCTAATTACACATCATTTGTAGCTAAAACACCTGCACCTCCTTTTATTCTGGGAAAGAATCACATTTAAACTATTTAAAACGTACCTCATTAGTGTGTTCAGTAAAATCTATATGTAGTTGACAAGTTTGGAGTTTTGTAACTTACTCTGCCTTGGTTGTCGAACATGGCTTGCGTGCTCTCAGGCCCATTGTAGTCCGGATAGGGGTTCTTTAAAGCTCGCTGGTCCGGCATCTTTCACAGGTCTGCATAAACACATAACATATGCAGGTCATTACAAGGGTTGTACAATGGTAGCAGAGCTGCACTCTAGATCTGGATGTTAATAAAGCAATAAGCCAAGAGACGCTGTGCGATTTTACCACGGGAAAGGTGTTCTTAGGCACGACGCAGAGTGCCTAAAATTACCTTCCCTGTGATAATTTTATTTTTTTTCAGAAAAGCAGCCAACATTATAAAATACTATAAACTATTATAAAATAACTTCTATAAAAAATTGTATAAAAGTTCATAAAATGGTCTGCCCTGCGATGGACTGGTGACCTGTCCAGGGTGTATCCTGCCTCCTGATAGCTGGGATAGGCTCCAGCACCCACCGTGACCCAGAAGGATAAGCGGTTTAGATGATGTGTGTGTTTATAAAATGGTGGTCAACGTAAAATATGATACAATACACAATTTTTCAGACAATGATTAAAGTTATTATTAATAACAATCAACATAAACAGGTATTCCGCCAAGAACTGTAGTTCCTTTAGAGTACGGTATTGTTACCAAGCAACCATGGACCGCTGAATGAGATTGTTCCCATCACTGTATATCGCAGCCATTTCACAGCTGATTATCAACAACGCTGATACGATGCCAGATTTAAGTAGGGAAATTTTACCTAATAACATGGAGCTTGTGACATCATGACCACGAGCTCCCAATGATGTCTAATAGTCAGTGATGTTTGCAAGAAAAATAAAGCTCAAAAAAGTGGTTCATGTATAATTACATTACATATACATACTTTTAAATAAAACAGATTTGTTTAAGAAGTTAAGGAGTCTTTATTCCACACCCTATATAGTGCACTATATAAGGAGTAGGGAGTCTTTATTCCATGCTCTAAATATATCACTATATATGGAGTGGGGCAGAATGGCCTACATTCATAGCTAGTATGCCATTTGGGACGGAGCCCACTTTACTCTCGAAAAGCAGAACGCCTACATGCCAAACGGCCCCAACGATGACTTTTATATGAAGGTCAAACCGTTTTAATCTCTTTTTATTCTCTCTGAAATTCTAACTGCAGCTCTTTATCTCAACATTGCATCATTTTATCAGCCTCTTTTCGGTCTGAGCAGCTCGTTACTGACGTAGTTACTAAACAACCCTGTGTTCACGTGAACAGCCGCATATTCGCTGAGCCCGTTTTAATGAGGAAATATGTTAAATAGTATTAATTTAATTTAATAATCTCCACTGTTTTGGTTTTTAACTCACCACACAGACGATGTTGTTTATACTTGCTCGTCTCTTCACAAGCCTGCAGTGCTGTGACTGCTCATGCGCCACTGCTGCCAACTAGTGGACGGAAGGCGCCACTACACCGTCCAGCTTCTTTCAGTTTCACAAGCGATTAAAAAACACAACTAAAAAGGTTACACCTCAAAAGTAAGCAGGCATATAATACAATATAATATAATAATATAATATAATATAATATAATATAATATAATATAATATATAGTTCACTATACAGAAAGCAATGTGATGTTATATCATGCAAATACAGTGCAGTGTATAAAGAACTGGGTGATTATGATTATTCTAAGCCCTATGTAGTGCAATATGCAGGAAGCAAGCACCCATTGTTCTATGCATTGTGTAGTGCACTAAATGAGGAGCAGTGTGGTTTTCTTTTAAACTCTATAGTGCATTATACAGGGAGATGTGTGTTTTTATTTAATGCTCAATGTAGTTCACTAAATAGGGAACAGGTGCATTATTTATCCATTCATGCATTATTTAGTGTGATTTTTAGTTCATGGCTTAAATAGTGCACTACACAGGGGCCATTATCACATTGAAATAGGGTGAAATATTTTAAGCCCAGTGTAGTGGACTATATTCAGAGCAGGGTGGTATTATTTTAAGCCCAGTGTAGTGCACTATATTCAGAGCAGGGTGGTATTATTTTAAGCCCAGTGTAGTGCACTATATTCAGAGCATGGTGGTATTATTTTAAGCCCAGTGTAGTGCACTATATTCAGAGCAGGGTGGTATTATTTTAAGCCCAGTGTAGTGCACTATATTCAGAGCAGGGTGGTATTATTTTAAGCCCAGTGTAGCACACTATATTCAGAGCAGGGTGGTATTATTTTAAGCCCAGTGTAGTGCACTATATTCAGAGCAGGGTGGTATTATTTTAAGCCCAGTGTAGTGCACTATATTCAGAGCAGGGTGGTATTATTTTAAGCCCAGTGTAGTGCACTATATTCAGAGCAGGGTGGTATTATTTTAAGCCCAGTGTAGTGCACTATATTCAGAGCATTGTGGTATTATTTTAAGTCGTGTGTAGTACACTATATTCAGAGCATGGTGGTATTATTTTAAGTCGTGTGTAGTACACTATATTCAGAGCAGGGTGGTATTATTTTAAGCCCAGTGTAGTGCACTATCGCAGTGTGAAATTATTTGGTAACGTGTTACTTTTCTATTACTGAATGTCATGAAATGATGTTCAAGTAATGTGTTGCTTATATTTGATGCTCTGCACACTGTGCTGCATTAGAATGTGTCTGGTAGGACAGCTTTTCCTTCTGGTTCATCAGGCTTAGTGCAGCCACTGGACTCTGAAGGGTCTGGATATGTCGTTGTCGTGGAGATAGACTTTCCTCCAGCTGGACCTTGAGTGAAGCCCAGTGACGCATTCAGTCACTGATGAAGAAAAAAATAAAAACACAAAACACAAGAAACCGACAGAAGTTGACTGAGCATAGTGGCCTTTTTTTTTCCTGGTAATTCATCTTTCATCTGACCTTCAGTCGTGTTATTACAGGCATGACTGCATCATAATTAGCAGCAGCTGTATTAGTCTGTTCACCTTTCACTATGGGTAATTTTCATAGCATTAATATTTGGAAGGAAGTTAACACTGTTTTAAAGAATGTAAAAACAATCATGAACACTTTAAACGAGTCTATAATTATACTACTAGCTCTATACACTTACTGGTTTACGTAGTGCACTATACAGGGCTTAAAATAATTTCATCTTGCTCCCTATATAGTGCACTACATAGGGTTTTAAATAACAACTTGCCATCTACCTTGTGCACTACACAGGGCATGAAACAATTTTACCCTGAACCCTGTATAGTGCACTATACAGACCTTAAAATACTATCAATCTGATCCCTATGTAGAAACCTACACAGTGCTTAAAATAATATCAAGCCGCTCCCCATTTAGTGCACTACACTAAAACAATTTCACCCTGCTCCCTCTATAGTGCACTACATAGGGCTTAAAACAGTTTCTTCTTGCTCCTTGTATAATGCACTACACAGGGCATACAATAATTTTCAGTGGCTCCCTATACAGTGCACTACACAGAGCTTAATATAATGTCAACCTGCACCCTATATAGTGCACTAAAGAAGGGCTTAAAATATCATCAACCTGCTCCCTAACTGGTGCACTACACAGGGCTTAAAATAATGTCAACCTGCACCCTATATAGTGCACTAAAGAGGGCTTAAAATATCATCAACCTGCTCCCAATATAGTGCACTACACAGGGCTTAAAATAATGTCAATCCACTCCCTAAATGATGCACTACACAGGGCTTAAAATAATATCACCTGGCTCCCTACATAGTGCACTACACAGGGCTTAACATAACATCAACTTGCTACCTTTATAGTGCACTACACATGGCTTAAAATATCATCAACCTGCTTCCAATATAGTGCCCTGTACATAGCTTAAAATTATTTCATGCTGCTTCCCACATAGTGCACTACACAGTGCTTTAAACAATTTGACCATGATCCCTATACTGTATGCATGAAGGTAATCATTTTGGACAAACAGGACATACATTTTTAAACCTGTTTTTAAGCACTATAGCTAGAGACAGCTTTAGCTTTAAGGTCAGCCGAATCTGGACTTTCTTTGGAAATGTATCAACATCAATTGTCGACCCAACAGGCCCCCCCCTCTATTACGGCCTATCACACTGCAAACTACTGAGGAGGCAAATTCATATGCAACCATTAGCATCTCATTAATGGCAGCAATATTTCAGCTCCCCCCTCAAAGCTCAGAGCCGCGTTGCAGTAAGCACCTGCTTCTAATATACATGCTTGTAAACATGGTTTCAATAACGATGAATATTAATGTTCCTCGACGGTCTCCGCTGGAAGGATCAGTTGCGTGTACGTTGTAAGAGAGTCTACTAATGCAGTGCACTGAGTGTAATGTAGCTGTAATGGCATTTGATTAAAATTTGATCAGCCCTTGTGTAGAGTACCACAGCATTTTCCCCAAATGTGCTATTTATTTATTTATGAATTTATTTTTTAATGAGCGCTTTCTTTACCCACATTCAGCCCAAGCGTCATCTGTCTACTCTACCTCGTTCTCCAGAAAATTCAGGCGGCATCCAGGTTGTTCGCAATTAGCACTGGAACCAACGGAACTCACGGTTCTCGCTGTAGTTCATTTTCCACCTGCGCGAGACAGCTGGAACTGTCATGGTAACCGCGATTAATGATTTAATTGCCTTTTTGGTCATTTTTCGCCCGTCTAAAGGGTCTAATTTGGCTAATTAGTTGGCGCTTTCTGTGAATAGAGTTCGTTTTATGCCTCGTAACTTTTTAACATCAGCTTTAAAAATGTACTTTTTGCTTTTGGTGCTTTCTGACAAAATATTAATCAAAGTAATTACCTTCTGAAAATTTTATGTTACCACGTCCAGGTGTCATGTCAGATACTATATAAGCTATTATCACCATAAATGACAAAATAACAAGGAAACCCGTTGAAACCTGGGTTACATGGTTGAAGTAAGGGCCGAACACAGATCATGTCAAATGAATGTTTTGTGTGTAAATATTAGCAAAGCGTATATTTTTCTTTATCAAGTGTGCAAATGAGCAAAAACACTCAAGCATACACAGGCAAAAATGCTAATAATGGTATAAGCTTGCTAACGAGCTTATGCTACCATAATAAAGTCGTCACAAAGTGATAAACGTAGCAATCTACACATTTATGTTTACATTCTGATGCACTTATTGGTCATGTAGTACTGGTTGATGACTTTGTCCTCACCTGGAACAGTAGATTGTCGTTAAATTGTCACATTGTCACACATTCTAAAACAGGAACTTACAGAACTCACTGTTCTAACTGTAGTTCATTTATCATTTGTGTCACTCTAAAGCATCTAATTTGGCTAAGCTACCTTGCTCGCTAGTTGCTAAAAGCACTACAGTACAATTAGGCCTCCAAAGCCTATATTTTATATTTTCCTCTGTCAAGTGTGAACACAAGGACGATAGGCAAAATTCCACTTATCGCTCATTTTCTACTCATAGTCCATTTTACTTTACCAGCTTTCTTTAGTTATACATTGTATTAGTTTAGTAAATCATTTTAAAATCACTTTACATTAGGCCTAGTCATTTATTTATTTATTTTAGTTGTTTGTAATATTTGTCTTAGTTTTTTTATCTAAAATGAAAAGCTCTGTGAATTTAAAATCTGTTTGAGAAGATTAAAAACTAGTTTAGCTACTTTCAGCTTGTATGCAGGACAGTGATCTGGGTGGTCCGAGGGGGGACCAGCGGTGGCAAATAGCCGGCGGGGTGCCGACCTTATCAAGCCAGTGGACTGATATATACTCGCTGTCTGGGATGCTAATGATAGTGTTAACCTGCTAACTAGCTTACGAGTATAGCAAATTTCACAAACTGATCATTCTAAAAGTAGTAAAAAGTTGGCTAAACTGAAGGGATGACCAATCAAAAACAAAAACTGACCTAAATGCGAACCAACAGGACTTATGTTTACATAGATTCAGTTTATTTCAAGGGTAAACCGACACATTAGCTACCTAGCTCATCCCTGCTGATATAGTACACTGTGTTTCACTGACTAATGCCTACAGTGACACAGAATCATGTGTACAATCAGGCAAAGCTTCCATTTTTCACTGCCATCTGTGAAAATGAGCAGCAAACAGAGGCATAAATGCTAATAATACTGCCAGCTAGCTAACTAGCTTACGTCATCTTAACGATCTCTTCTCAAACTGATAATTCTACATGTAGCAACTGACACATTAGCATAGCATGTTAGCTCACATTCTGATACACGTATTGATTATGTAGCACTGTTTACTGACTTTATTCTCACCAGCAAGAATGAAGAATTTGCTAAACTGTCGTGAGCTTCAGCTGCAGCCTTGAGCAGATACCAAAAAACATAAATTCATTCTGATTTTATTGGTCAGAATGTCTCTGTGGCCTCACATCTGGATCTGCTGCATAGTCTAACACCAGGCTGGGTA